GTTAGAGCTTTTAAATTCCCTCTTTAAGGAAAGATTCAGTCCTTCATGGTTGTAAAATACTTACCTCATGAATTCCTAGAGTACAGGTTATATAGAAGAGAGTATCAGTCACACAGTATGCTTTAATTTCACAGTCTTTTAGGAAACCATGGTTTGATCAAATACTTTCCTACGATTCCACTAACATGAGTAACCCTGTTTTGATCTTTTTTAATTGTGTCCGATTCTAGTGAGCAGAGAAAAGTCCCAGGGGCATGGAAGGAAAAGGCAGGTCATGGTGAAGTTCAACCTCTAAGAGTACTCACTTCTTAGGAATGAGCATTCTTACCCAGCTTTTGTTTGGACAGAAGCATATTGTGTAGATCCAACCCAGGTAAATGACCAGGAAAATGTTTGGTCACCTAGAGTTTTTATAGCTCTTTAATTAAGTGTAAATAAATTTTCACAATTTGTAATAATTATGAGCTTTTAGGCAAAACACTGTGTGAAGCATTAAACATAATATATGGATCGATAAGAAAGTTACTGCATTTTAAAGGTGCCCCTGTTTGTCTCTGTCTATGTTGCTTGGGCATACTAAGGAGATAGGGACACTTCTTGAGCTATTGGGAGTATGTGTGGTTAATATAGGATGTCGTTAATGATTCATATATTTATAGGAAATATTTTCACCTTGGAGCCTGATAAAAGGAAATACCTGACCCTCCGGGAAGAATTTGAGAACACTCCCCCTTTCCCTTGCCATAGTCATGAATTTATATAGAACATTCAGTCTCTCCCAAGTTCTGTTAGATATACTTTATATGGTCAGATTATACTTAACATTTCGTTCCATAATCATAATGAAGACATCCAAGCTTTCTACAACTGGATTCTGAAAGTTACAAGCCAATGAGCAACATTCCCATTACAATGAGTGTGGGATAATTTTCATGCAGCCCTAGTATGACCTAGGGTTGCATTTCTGTCCTTACAGTTCCAGTGTTGCCAGCCCCATATGCCACTCGGGGAATGTTTCAATGGCCTCTTCATATTTACATTCAAAGTCATGCCCAATTTTAATTTTCTTAGGTTTTTTTTTTTTAGTATTTTTCAACCATACTTTCCTTGCATCAATGATTTGGTCTCCTCCCTCCCTCCCTCCCTCCCTCCCTTC